GGCGCGGCTGTGGCGCAGCCCGAGACCTGCGCTGCTACCCGGAGGTTCACGGTGCGCGCTTGCTGCAGATGCGGCGGGCGTAGGAGGCGACGCTCGTCTTTATTCCCACTGTCCAAATTCTCCCAAGGCCCTGTCCAGCTACGCCGGTTTCTACTGTCGGGTACGTGTGATGAAAAACGAACCTGTCAACCCTCAAAACTCCACTGCAGTTTGGGTCTTGAACAAACATTAAACCAGCATGTGATGTGCATCACAAGCAATCCGCAAATAGGCTGCAAGGACAGAAATCTCAGCCTGTATCAAACAGCCGGGAGGATGCCACCTACCCCACACATGCTCCCGAGGTAAACGAGACAGCCCTCCGGGGAGGGGACTCCACTGCACCATTTGTCACAGAATTCATCTTAAATTCGCCTGATGATGGACTGGCCATTAGTAAATGCAGTGGCCATTTGCGTTTGCTAATTGCCTTTATCCAAAGGAAAAATGAATTTTTCATATCTTTACTACAGGAGGTAGGTTTACAATTTGAAGCCAGGGGCTCTCTGGTAGCTGGACTCCTACCCTCCCACGGAACTGGGAGACAGGGATGACATTTCAAAGAGAGGACTCTCAAGTCCTTGAGAAAATACATTCTTGAGTTGTAAAACTGGGGGGAAATATTTAGCTTTAAAAAAATTTACGTATATCTCAAAAAGAATTTGTGATTACAAGTTTTCTAAAGCAAATCCTGTAAGGAAAAAGAGTCTCCCTTTGCACCAGGATAAACTCCTTTATAGCTTTGTAAAGTACCCTGCACTGCCGCAAACGAAGTTAAAGTGCAAGGAAGTGACATGCTTGTTCTGAGAAGAGGGTACTCTTCTCCAGGATGAGATGGGGCGAGAGGACAGGGCCCTTGTCTGAGTCGGCTGAGTCCCAGCTTAGAGCAGGGCCTGGCGCCCCGGGGACGTCTGTGGCCGTGGGGACAGCTCTCCGGGAGATGCTGACACTAAAGGAGACCCCTCCCCGTCCTAGGCGCACTGGCCTCAGGCTACCTGAGCAATGGTGGTTCCTGCACACGCCCTCGCCTTCTTCATCCCAGGCACTGGTTCAGTTTCCTCCACCCTGCTCAGTTTCCTGAGCCCTGCTCCGTGCTGGTCCTGGAGGTATCTTCCTGGGAGGAGAGCAGAATACATAAGGCCCAGAAGCCGGAGGCTGGACCGTAGGGTCCCGTGGCAAATGGCAAGAGTTGAGGCCAGAAAGGGAGACAGGAGCCACAGCTCATGGCACGAGTTGTCACATGAATTATAAAAGGCTTTATAATTCATGGTGAGCTCAGAAAGATTTGAGAATTTGAGATTTGTGAGGCAAAACCGTTTAACTCAAGCTAGATCCAGGAAGTAGGCTTGGCCGTCTATGGGAGGCCAAAGTCAGGTGGAGATGAAGATGGCGAAGCTGGAAAGGGCCTACTTTCTGGGAAGGTGTCTGGCCTCCTCCCCACGTCGGGTTTAGAGGTGACTACTGGATGCCATGGAGCTGTTCTCTGCCATAGCACCTATCACAATGCTGTGTATACTTCTGTCCCCAGAGGAAGTGTCTTTGTTCGACTTTGTTGTGGGGGACACTCATGTATTTTTCATGTTTGTATTCCCAGTGCCTGGAAAATATTAGGGACTTGAAAACTTTTTCTTTTTTCTTTTCTTTTTTTTTTTTTTTTTTGAGACAGAGTCTCACTCTGTCACCCAGGCTGGAGTGCAATGGCGCAATCTGGGGTCACTGCAATCTCCGCCTCCAGGGTGCAAGCGATTCTCTTGCCTCAGCCTCCCGAGTAGCTGGGATTACAGGCAAGCACCACCACGCCAGGCTAATTTTTGTATTTTTGGTAGAGACAGGGTTTCACCATGTTGGTCAGGCTGGTCTCACACTCCTGACCTCCTGATCCACCCTCCTCGGCCTGGCATTACAGGCGTGAGCCACCATGCCTGGCCTTTTTTCTCTTTTTAAGAGGCAGGGTTAGCTGGATGTGGTGGCTCATGCCTATAATCCCAACACTTTGGGAGGCCGAGGAGGGAGGATCATTTGAGGTCAGGAGTTTGAGACCAGCCTGGCCAACATGGTGAAACCCCATCTCCTACTAAAAATACAAAAATTGGCCGGATGTGGTGGTGCATGCCTGTAATCCCAGCTACTCGGGAGGCTGAGGCACGAGAATCGCTTGAACCCGGAAGGCGGAGGTTGCAGTGAGCCAAGATCACGCCACTGCACTCCAGCCTGGATGAC